AGGTATAATCTTGGATGCAAAACTAACATTCGTATCACACATCAAACACCTTAAAAATAAATGCATGAAAACAATGAATATCCTGAAGTTACTGTCGCACACATCCTGGGGCAGCGACAGAAGGTGCCTCATGAATCTGTACAAAAGCCTGGTACATTTACGTGTTGACTATGTGGCAATAGTATATCATTCCGCCTCACCAAGCTTATTGAAGATTCTGGATCCTGTACATCATCTGGGGATCCGCCTCTCTACAGGTGTTTATCGAACGAGCCCTGTAGAGAGCCTTTACGCTGAGTCCAATGAGTGATCACTCTCCCTGCAGAGGTTCTACATGTCTTTTATCTATTATCTGAAAGCAAATGGCGATAAGGAACGCCCTACGCATTCCATAATTATCTGTCTAGTTCTGCACTTTTTTGCCTACGCATTCCATAATTATCTGTCTAGTTCTGCACTTTTTTGTAAACCGCCCCTTGATGAGGCAGCCTTACTCACTTCGCGTGAGGGGCCTAACCGAGATAACAGGTGTGCCGCTCTTTGAACAGTGTCTCATGGCTCCTGCTGCACACCGACTGCCGTGGCAGTGGCAGGTGATAGAATGATATGTATCCTTCGCGGAAGTGACGAAGCATGCACCTATTGCACATATACACACATACTTCATGGAACTTAAACACAAATACGCTTGCCCTGAATTTTTTACCGATGCCTCCAAGTCTCTCACTTCTGTGTCCTATGCAGCTGTAGGGCCATCCTTTTCAGCTTCTGGTAAAGCATTTTCACTGCAGAAGCTCATGCGCTATCTGTGACTGCCAAACAAATTAAGAAACTAAAACTAGAACGCGCGGTTATATACACGAACTCTTTGAGTGTTGTAACAGCTTTGAAAACAATGAAAGAGCATAAAAATCCTGTGCTTGTATCGCTGTACTCGCTTTTATGTACGATCTACGCACTCAAACGGCATGTTGTGGTGTGCTGGGTGCCAGGACACCGCGAGATTGCTGGAAACGTGGCTGCGGACCAGCTAGCTGTATCCGCGCACGACAATGCTGCCACTTTACTGTCCCTGCACTTGACATAAAGCACTTCCTAAAGCAAAGCCTCAGAGCAAATTGGCAGCGCCTATGGGATAGGCAGACTGAAAATAAACTACATATTGCCGCACACGCATATCCAAGGTCCTCTCGATCATCGAAGCCTCGGTGACGAACTCAGCGACGGTCTTAGGGGGGTTGCGGATGAGTCTAGTGAAGAGCTCTTGTTTAACTCCCCGCATCAGAAAGCGCACCTTCTTATCTTCTGCCATTTCGGGGTCAGCTCTCCGGAACAGCATCTTCATCTCCTCAGCGAACAGTACAACACCTTCGTTAGGGTGTTGCATTCGCGTCTCCAACAAAAGGGCGGCTCGTTCTTTCCGCACAACCGTAGCGAATGTTTTGAGGAATTCACTCTTAAAGACAGTCCAGTCGGTTAGGGAGCCTTCATGGTTCTCAAACCACGTTCGAGCTACATCCTCCAAATAGAAGAAGACATGACGAAACGTTTCTTCGTCATCCCACCTGTTAAAGATGCGGATGTGCTCCAGCTTCTCTAGCCACTCTTCCGGGTCTTCACCAGGAGATCCTCGGAATGATGGTCTTCACCAGGAGATCTCGGTCTTCACCAGGAAATCCTCGGGCTCACGAAGTTGTTGCAGAACGACGGGAGGGTTGGTAGCGCTGGTCATGGTGCCTGCGTTGATCATCGTGGTTCTTACGTCTTCTTTCCTCTTTTTATCCGGGAGCAGTCCAAACTCTGGCTGAAGGCCTTGCTGTCGGCGGCTGACACGAGTTGGGCGTGCTCGTTGTGTTGGGCTTGCTTGTCGGCTTGGCAATGGCTTAGGGTTCATGTACCCCGCACCTCCACCAGATGTCACGCAGCAAAGGACGACGCAGTTGTCTATAAGGGAAACAAGTTTATTGGAGCGAACCTGTGCTTCCCTAACAACTGAAAGAATACACAGGCGGCGAAGCAGCAGCCGGCAAAACGACCTGCACGCTAGTGCACGTCGTTTATGCCGCTTATGCCGCGAACCATGCTTATGCTTATGCCGCGAACCATGCATTGGGTTTGTTTATTTGTGTTTTGTTTTTTCGGCCTGGCTGCGCCGGCCTGTGCTATCGCCGTTTTCACAGCGTTTCGAACAAACGCTACCACAGCGTTTCGAACAAACGCTATCGAACAACGCTTCAGGCGTTGTTCGATAGAAACAACGCTTTAAGCGTTGTTTGTTAGAAGCGCTGTTCGAACGAACAGCGTTTCTAACAAACGCTATCACGGCGTTCTCGATACAATTCGACTATTCGAGAAACCCTCGCGCCGAGGGATATAAATTCCCGCACAGCCGATGCCACGTCATTCGATCGCCGACGCTCACTAGTGTGCACGTCGTTTTGCCAGCCGCTGCTTCGCCGCCTGTGTATTCTTTCAGTTGTTAGGGGAGCACAGGTTCGCTCCAATAAACTTGTTTCCCCTATAGACAACTGCGTCGTCCTTTGCTGCGTGACAATATTATCAAACCCAAACTTGAAAATTTGGACCAGTATCTAAATCTCGCTACGGACAAGTAACACTTACCAAGCTACAAATAGGACACACACACAGAACATATTCATATCTTCTTTCTGGTGGTGAACAGCCTAGCTGTGACAAATGTGGTGAACCACTTGCAGTTCTTCACATCCTTGTCCAGTGCAGTGAGTTGGATGGTATCAAAAAAAAAAAAAAACATTTTTTACTGCCCTATCAACAGTAGCTTCCACTGCACCCTTCTATGTTTATCGGTAGGAATGCACTGTTTAAACAAAAATCATTGTTGGCATTTTTAAAAGTACATGGTTTTAACACTATATTTTGAGGTGACCCGTAGCACGGCCTCTGCAGACAACACCCTGCCTCGTGGCTCTTGTGTTCAAGGGCACTGATGAGGCTAATGTGCTAAATAACTTGTCAGTCCCAAAGTTTTCCTTATCCTTTAACTATGAGTATTTCCATTAGTTTTTACTTAATTATTTCACCTCACTCACATGGTTTCAATATGTTGTTTTATCCATCTTAAGGCGAGCAATTTTAGGCCCTTATTCAGCCCTGTAGCATCATCTTAGCTGATATACTTCACATGCCATTGTTGCATTGCAAATCATTGCTACTCTTCCATCTTTTCCATGGTGCTCTTTGGCCAAGACATGGGCCTTGTGCCATTAAAACCTACATATCTTCATCACTGCAGCAGGCTCATTTGCGAAAGGAGTGTTCTGCTCGAACAAAAACAAGAAACTGTGACAGTTTCTAGATTGCGCTCATCCTGTGTGTGTTGTTTTCATGCGTCCTTTGTTTTTGAGCAGTGTGCTACAAGTTTCAAGCTTCTTGCTGAAACACTCATTTCACAGTCATGACTCATTTCACGGTCATGTAATACCGATTCCTATGAAGAAGAGGTTTGTCATGTTTTTAAATATGAGCCAGCCATTTTAAAGCAGCCAAATGGGAGATAAGAATATTGTTCTTATATATTTCTAGTATTCGATGTAAAATAGGACAGTTGTACATACTGAATCTGAATGATGGAGCAGCACTGGAACAAGATGAAGACGAAAGAGAACAGTGTTGTGTCTGTGTCTTCTAGTCTTCATTTTGTTCGAGCACTGTTTCATCGTTCATAATAGCATTTATTGCTCTTTTTGAAAATAAACTAGAGAAAAGGGGTTTCCTAATGGTGTAGCACATTGCAGAGACTTGGAATGTTCTGCTTATGATCAGAAGCACACCCTTATGTAGTGAGAATGAGAAAAGGGGCAATTTTCTAGTGTCAATTTTTTTGTTTTAACAACCTTCCAGTCTGTATCACAATCGCTTAAGTACACTTAAAGTAGTACAATTAACAGCCCTTATTTAAATGCATGTTAAGGGACACCAGGTGGTTGAAATTTCTGGAGCCCTTCACTACAGCATCTCGCTTTATATATCAATGTATTTGACATAAAGCTACAACAGCTGTTATAGACTGTGTCTGGTTGAGTTCATTCTAGAACCTATGTGTAAACCAGGGTTAACTCTGGAATGTGCTGTATGTGGTAATGCCAAATGCGTTTCATCTGCCAAGCATATTATCAATATACTCACTGCCATCCTGTAGTGCGAGTTCTACCTGCTTCTATTGGCTGCCTTGCAGTGAAGCCAATAAAAAGATCATTGTGTAGCAGTTTCACTGCGGCATTCTTTGCTGACCAACACGTTGCGGGATCGAATCCCCACTGCGGCGGCTGCATTTTCGATGGAGGCGAAAATGTTGTAGGCCCATTTGCTCAGATTTGGGTGCATGTCAAAAAACCCTAGGTGGTCGAAATTTCCAAAGCCCTCCGCTACGGCGTCTCTCATACTCATATAGTGGTTTCGGGATATTAAACCCGACATATCAATCAATGATTGCGGCATTATTCACAGTCGCAGTTATATAACAATATAGCTACACAACCTGCTTCACTCTATGTTGCTTGTGCATGTTACAAAAAAAAATTTTCTACTGCATACTGCAGTCAAATACAGCTTAAGAAGTCGGGAGAGAGCCCTCCCAGACGACTGAAGCAAGTTGGCCAATTGCCTCCACCACTTTAGGTATAGTCGTGCACATGCACTCAGTAATGCTCTCCGAAGGCACCGCCCACGTACCTTATGACGTCAGTCAGTGCACCCTCTTGGTGCCTTTGAGGAGAAAATGCCGCAGACCTCTGAAGTTGTATCGGACTCATAGTACCGTGGGGCATGCCATTTGATGTAACCTTGCAGCCATACATTTAATGAAGTGCAGATAAAAAGAATTCATTACTTGGGTATCTTTGCAGCTGTAGGCGCATTATATGGAGAGTGTTGGATGACCCTTCTGCTGTGTTTTTCTTCTGTATCTGCTGAATACGGTGTGCTTTTTTTTTTTCTGCCTTTTTTTGTTGTACATGCAGATGCTGCAAGTGCTGCTTCTGGTGCCTTGAGAAGTTCCTCAAGTTCTTGAACAAGAATGCCTATATCATGGTATGAGTACAGTCATCATAAGTGTCTGCTTAGCAGCGTGTGGTTCTTCTAAGACAGTAGCAGGAGTGGAACCGCTGCGCTACTTGAGGCATGGTGTGCCAAACTTGATTACATGCACCACCCTGCGCCAAACCACCCCTGTTGTTCGTGCCAAACTCTTTTTCAGGGCTGTACTGCTGCAGCACCCAAAGTACTGCTCCAGTCACTCCACTTTCAGAATCAATTTTATTTTGCCTGTTTTGGCAACATTGTGATTTTTGACAGACCTTTGTGCGAACCAATGTGCGTGTATTGTTGTAAAAGTGCTCTAGGCTGGCAAACTTGACAGAAGTGCGTGCCCCTTGTGATTATGCTACAGTAACATCGAAGTTCTGTAATGAAAAGAACCTTTGCAAACCAAATATCGAAATAAAGTGTCAGCTTCACAATTTGGCTATGTTGAACAGTAATAATTGCCAGAAATTTATGCCAGTTATTCAATAGGCCGCTCTTCCAAGGAGTCGGGGGAAATTTGGTCTACAAAAAATATTTACGAAGGTCCGCAGCCTCTTTAAAGTGTCGAGGTGGCCTTCTCTGACAGTTTCCAGCAGCTTTGGTTTTGCTTGCATTGTTATATCAGACACAGGGTCTCATCTCGTGTCACTAGTCGCTCCTATGACATCGTCGTCACGTGCGCATGGGTGCGCACCAGCAGTGCAAAACACATGCACTGCTCGAAACTGTCTTGCAACTCCATTGGAATTGAGGGACGACAAGCTTAGAGTTCGAGGATGACAGCACCTCAGCTTCAATTTGTGACAACGATGTTTTGCGGCAGCCTGAGACATCCGCAGCTAATCATGGGTTTGTTTTGTTTACATCCTCAAGTCGTCTTCTCCGCCGCGAATGCGTATAGCTTCTGACGTCCGTGCACAATCTTATAGCTACTGTGGTTACGTGCGAGATCCACACGTCGTTGGGGTGTCGTGTGGTGGCACCGACTGCAGAGCTTTTCGTCACAACAAGGAGATCACCGGAACTATCTTGGCCTTAACTACAGTTTTAAACTTCGCTAAAACTGCTGCTTGGGCGAGTTGGTTCATGATTGTTTAGAAAGATTTATCAGCGAAAAAAAAGATGAAACTTTTAGTTCAGTCTTTTGTAGTTCCATCTTTTAGTTCCGTAAGCAGGCCTTTCATTTCCCTCTCAAGTAAGGAAATAAGCTACCGACAGCACTTGCCTTTTTAATAGTTCTAATCTGTGCTTTACACTGTTCTTATAATGCTTTTTAGTTTTTAATGTTTTAGATTTTGTTTGTCTTTCGTGTGTGGCTGCCTAAGCTTCTCTGGCTTGAACGTGTACGGCCCGGTTTGTTTTGGCATCAAGTACATAATTTTTTCTTTTTTTTTCTCCTTATATATTGGGGGCGTGCCTTGTGGCGTGGGAAGTTTAGGCGACATGATTGCCTTTGGTTGTTTGTCTTTTTGTCAAGTGGTTGTCACGTGGTTTTTATCGCCTCTTTTCTTCATGTTGTCTTCTGTTGATTCGATGCGTGCCTACAAAAAGGCCCTGCGTTTGAAATAGTAAATCAGTTGTGAGTACAGCACTGTGTGTGTGTTTCTTCTCTAAAAGTTTCATCTTTTTTTGTGCTGATAAATCTGTCTAACTAATTACAAAGCAGTGTGAAACATTTTAGGACCGTGCGCGATATTGTTCTGTTCTTATTTCTTATTTACAATGTCATCATCATCATCATCAGCCTTACTACGTCCACTGCAGGACAAAGGCCTTTCCCATGTTCCGCCAGTTAACCCGATCCTGTGCTTGCTGCTGCCAATTTATACCCGCAAACTTCTTAATCTCATCTGCCCACCTAACCTTCTGTCTTAATCTCATCTGCCCACCTAACCTTCTGTCTCCCCCTAACCCGCTTACCTTCTCTGGGAATCCAGTTAGTTACCCTTAATGACCAGCGGTTATCCTGTCTGCGCGCTACATGCCTGGCCCATGTCCATTTCCTCTTTTTTATTTCAACTATGATATCTTTAAGCCTCGTTTGTCCCCTAATCCACTCTGCTCTCTTCTTGTCTCTTAAGGTTACACCTACCATTTTTCTTTCCATTGCTCGCTGCGTCGTCCTCAATTTAAGCTCGACCCTCTCTGTAAGTCTCCAGTTTTCTGCTCCATAGCTAAGTACCGGCAAGATACAGCTGTTACATACCTTCCTCTTGAGGGATAGTGGCAATCTACCTGTCATAATTTGACAGTGCTCGCCAAATGTGCTCCACCCCATTCTTATTCTTCTAGTTACTTCAATCTCGTGGTTTGGCTCCGCGGTTATTACCTGCCCTAAGTAGACATAGTCTTTTACAACTTGAAGTGCACTATTACCTAGCTCGAAGCACTGCTCTTTTCCGAGGTTTTTGGACATTACTTTCGTTTTCTGCAGATTAATTTTAAGACCCACCTTTCTGGTCTCCTTGTCTAACTCCGTAATCATGAGTTGCAGTTTGTCCCCTGAGTTATCAGCAATGCAATGTCATCTGCAAGGCGCAGGTTACTAAAGTACTCTCCATTAACTCTTATCCCTAACTGTTCCCATTCTAGGCTTCTGAAAACCTGTAAGCACGCGGAGATTGTGCCCCCCTGCCTTACACCCTTTTTGATTGGTATTCTGTTGTTTTCTTCATGAAGTACTATGGTAGCAGTTGATCCCCTGTAAATTTCTTCCAGAATGTTTATATATACTTCATCTACGCCCTGATTCCGCAGTGTCTGCATGACGGCTGATATCTCTACTGAATCAAACGCCTTCTCGTAATCTATGAAGGCTATGTATAGTGGTTGGTTATACTCTGAGCATTTCTCTATTACCTGATTGATAGTACGAATGTGGTCAATTGTTGAGTAGCCTGTTCGAAATCCTGCTTGTTCCTTTGGTTGATTGAATTCTAATGTTTTCCTTACTCTGTTAGCAATTACCTTTTTAAATAGCTTGTATACTACAGAGAGCAAGCTAATCAGCCTGTAATTCTTCAAGTCCTTGTTATCTCCTTTCTTATGTATTAAGATTATGTTAGCGTTCTTCCAAGACTCTGGTACTCTTCCCGTCAGGAGACACCTCGCAAACAGGGTGGCTAGTTTTTCTAACACAATCTGTCCTCCATCTTTCAGCAGATCTGATGTTACCTGATCCTCACCAGCAGCTTTGCCTCTTTGCATGCTCTCCAAAGCTTTTCTGACTTTTTCTATCATTACTGGTGGGGTGTAATCTGGCTTACTGCTAGTTCCTATAGTATTAGTGTCGTGGTTGTCTCGGCTACTGTACAGACCTTTGTAAAACTCCTCCGCTATTTTAACTATCCTATCCATATTGGTAGTTATTTTGCCTTGTTTGTCCCTTAGTGCATACATCCGATTTTTGCCTATCCCAAGTTTTTACAATGTGTAAAAATGCAAAGAAATAAGCTTGGACGCATACATTTGAACGCCAACCTATGCGGAGTGAGGTGGCTCATGGAAAGAGGGGACACTCTAGGCGTAAATAGTGAAGTTCATTGGACATCTAGTTTATAGAGGGATTATTCACATCATGGGTATCCATCTATATTGGAATACCTGGAGACATTTATCGCAAGACAACAAAAATTTACTGAGAAAAGTGTACGAGTTCACTTGTGTCTCACGAAAAACCATGCAATGCTTCACTGCATGGCACAAGCAACGAAGCAGCACCTCGGTTCTGATTTTCTTTGACTATGGGAAGAGAAACGTTTTGTACAACAGTCATTATTTTTATTACTATTCCCGGTTCATTTATCTTCAAAATGTATATTCTGAATTTTTTTTATTTGGATATTTTTGCATATATGGTGTTTTATTGCACTGTTTACCATCTGGAAGCCCAAAATTTCATACTTCTCACATTTTATTCAATCTGAAATATTTTTGTTGTTCTACAACATATATTTTTTGAAAGAGCATTTCATTATGCAAAGTTTGGTATGCTGCATTGCATGCTGGAGTACTTTTGAAACTGGCAAAAACGACCTTCCGGAGACATATGAAGAACAACCATTTTCACGCGGTAACGTTAAGTGTGCGGTCGTGATCACTGGTACGCATGCCACCTGGACAAGCACCAGTGCGAAGGGCTTATGAACCCTTCTACGTGCTGTGGTCTCAACACGAAGAGACTGAGTGAAAAGTGGATTTTTTCTGGCACGGCCATATTTTTCTTATGCCAGCATTTTCTAGAGTTACGCCATATCGCATCCACAAGAGTTAGCTGCCAGTCATGCAATTTATTGCTATCACAGTCACTGCTTCACCCGTGTAGTGAAAGAGAGTTTTTTTTTCTAACTTGATAGCAGGCCTTCAGAAAAGGATTACAGTAAAGGTTGTCAAAAGAAGTGGGGCTGGGGTCTGGTTTCCTGAGCAGCCTAGCAAAGACTGCTCATCGAGTGCACACATGCACCCTTGTTCAATTCTCTGCTGTGCTTCATTATACGGTGCTTATAAACTCGGCGGTTGATGCTTGCGTGTTCAGGTAAAAAAAAAAACTGTGGACCATCCTCCCGAAGGAAATCCTGATGGGATGTAAAGCAGCAGTGGCAGCAGTGGTGTGCACGATGTCGACTCGGTTGAAATGAGTGTCGGGGGCTGGAAGAACAGTTTGAAGCGAAACTCTGTGTAGAGTCGATGTTACCCGCGCGCCGTCTCCATTTTCGAACGCAGTCGGTGCTCTTGACTCGCACCTCGTTGATGTCGTTGGTCTTCCACTGCCGACGCTTGTGTTCGGCTTTCCTGGCTTGCGCCTCGTCGCTGTTCCAGGCACAACATCGCCATTCGCAAACGCGATCGGCTTTGCTAACCTGCAACGCCGGCGACGGCCGGGAAAGGTACGCGCACACTAGGGGGAAGCATGCCCCAGAGGCGTTCTGCCCATCGGCGTGATCCCGTGGGCAAATAGCGGCGCGCTGTCCACATTGCCGGCGCTGGGGGACCACAATTGGGCTAGACAACGGCCTGCGAGTGCACGCAGCGCATCTACTGAAGCAAGAGAGATGACACGCGGCAACAGGTTAGGGAGATAGTGACGTCACACACACGCACCGCGAGGGAAGGCGTGGCTTACTTGGCACTGTCGCAGGGCAGAGGGACAACGTTACACAAGCTAGTCAAAGAGCTGCTTCACATCTAAAATTGGCAGTTGTACATAGCTAAAAAAAAGCCAGTTTCATCACAATGGCAAAGCAATGAATGTGATAGCAACAAATTATGTTACACAAAGTGAGGTTGATAGCTAACTGTTCTGGATCTGATCTCTCATTACTCTACAAAGTGCTAGTGTAAGAGAATATGGCCACTCCAGGAAGAGCAGCACTTTTTTCACAGTCTGTTCGCAAGGAGAGCATAGCGCGTAGAAGCCACCCACTGATGGTCGTTGATCTAGTGTGCCCGCCAGTAATTGTGACCATACTCTTAGAGCCAAAGTTCGTAGTTGCTGTTTGAGCAATACTGCTCAATCCCTTAGCATCTTTCCTTGCTCGTTCAAGATGGGCAGAGTGTTTCCTCTTTGCTTTGACGGCAGGCCTCCCCGGCGGAGTGAGGTTATCGCATGCGCCCTCGAAGGTGCTTTTCGAGGGCGCCCCCGCTTAGGTGCTTTTACTCGTAGGTGGTAGAAAATATGACACGCGAGGGTATGTTATGAATTTATACTTTATATGGGACATAACTGCTAAGGCAATGGCACAAACCTGCTGAGAGTGTCCATATAATTGTTTTTGCAACAATAACGCTGCTGCGCAATAGCGTAGTCTTTGAAAAATGCAGCCCTAGACAAAAGTTGGTGCGCAAGTGCTATGTAACAGGGCTACAACTGCTCTGAATGTTCTCTCTGACTGATCCAAACATATTTGAAAAGGCCCTTCTGGCTGGTGCAAGCCAGCTCCAAGATGTCCTCATAGATACTCTGCTATAAAAAGCACTTATCACTGCACCCAGGACTGCTCCCCAACCCATGTACTGTGTTCCACCCTTGCAATAGATACCTGTCCTCCATTCGTATTCAGAGAAGCTTAACTGTATCCAGAGGCTGTAATATTTCTTGTTTCTGCCTAGTAATTGTTCTATAGACTCGAGCTTTTTCTAATATTTATGAAAAAAAAAAAAAAGTCTCGTGGTCAGTTGAAATGTGCACCTGCAAGACCTGCTTCACTGCAACAGAGCGGTGACGTGCGGGCAACATACAGCATTTTTTTTGCAACCACAGCGCGCCATGATTTCCCCATTTTTTCTGGGAATAAAGAGAAATTAATAAAGGACAGTTTGGTGGAATTCACAATGCATGCGAACGTCCAATCATTGGTTGCTCTAACACATTGCACACTTGCACTGCTGGCGGAGTTCTTGCCTGCAACGCCTACTTTGAAAACTAAGTTCGAGAGCTTCTATGATCAAGTTTTCCAGTCGTAACACATCGCAAATTTTTCACATAGGCCATTACTAAATTCTTACTTTTACCAGAAAGAATGAGCAAATAGTCTTATCATGATGTGCTGACGCAGCAAGTAGCAGGCGACATGCTGCTTGCGTGTGACTACCGTGTTGCAGTTAAGATGTCTTGTTTTCCACAGGCACACATTTCAGGTGGTCACAACGCATTCTTTTTTTTTTCGGTGGCAGCAGCGAGGCCTGCCATTCCACTGTGTTTGTGGTGAAATTAGGACCAGGTATTGCCGGAAACAATCATCCTTGGAGCCGCAAACTAGCCGGCAGAGCAAGTGATCAGCCCTGATTACTTCGATTCATTCCGAATTGCTTGCATTCTGCTTTTTATATGTTTCATTAATTTGAAAACCTGCTAAATTCAAAGATTTCTCACGGCCCGCTGACTTTGAATTAAAGAAGTTTTACTTTATATATTGGTGTCTCATTTGTTGTGTTTAAGTGGCATGTGCTTGCGGATGTGACATTGGTGCCTTTGTCTGCAGATCGCTATTTATGGCAAAAACTTCTGCACTTCTGCAAAAGAGGCCTTCAAGCTGCTCATGCGCAATGTGGTGCGAGTTGTTGTGTTGGACAAGGTCACCGACCTCTTACTGCTTGTTGGGAAACTCGTCATTGTTGGCATTGTTGGTAAGCTTTGTTTTGAGGCTGTAGATTTTGTGATGGGCAAGTTCAGTCTTCTTTTGGGTACAGTTGAACAGTTTGACATGCACACCCTACTTTATATCTGTTGCACTGTTTAACCACGATAGTTTCTGTAGATTTGTGGGACACAAACTTGGTGAGAACCAACATTAATGTGAACTAAGAGACAATCAATCCAAGTAAAGTACAAGGGATGTTATTTGCAGTAATCAAACAGTAATATATATATATATATATATATATTTTAAAGTGGAATAAGTGATTGAAACTAGTTTATTTGGCCCGCAATAGGTGCGAGTTAGCTTGACGTCGCCTGGCTAGGCCTACTCAAGGACGGTAAGTTTAAATCTGACCACTCTTACGTGGGCCTTCTGGACGGCCAGGATTTGAGAGCTCAAGTCCTAGGTCTTGATGAGGTTTTTCATTCCCTCTTTATGGAACGGGGGACCAGCAGAGGCGCAGCCCCACTGGACGTGCTTGAAGTCCACATAACCCACCAAAAAGATAGCTCGCTGCGGGCTGGCACCGAACCTGTCACCCTCCAATAACGCATCCCATGTTTTCTACCGGCAGGGACGCATTTTTGGAAGGTTGCAAGTTCGGTGCCTACTGGCAGCAAGTTTTTTTTTCATCCTCTGTATTTGATTCACATTTATAGCCCAATTAACCACTATAAATATCCCCTTATGCTTTTTCTTGTCTTGATTGTTTGTTGGTTATCAATAATTTTGTGTCTTAATTAAGAAAAATGAGCCCGTAAATATTCTCTCCTTTCTTTGAATCTGTATTTAGATTTGGCCTTTTTTATTATTGAAGTAAAATGAAGCCTCTTAGATGAAGCTGCTGCTCAAATAAAACAAATGCATCTAATGTGATTGGTTTTGTTCAGTCTGCAACCCTGGTGATTGCTCAGTAATCACATTAAATGTTGACGAAGTAAGGAACATTTATTTACAATATATGTTGATGAGTAATGACACTAACTGTTGATCTCCAGTAATTCCTATTAAATGGAACATCTTTTTCCCAGTTTCTTCAGGTTCCTTTTAACGAGAGTCTATGGTATTTTCATCACTACTTATTGACTATGAATTGGTTTGTAGTTGTGTAGTGTTCTGTCCTAGCTGTGAAATCTTTCGCATTTCTGAGGACATTTGAACCACTTATAACAATATTAAACAGCTATGTAAATTATGTTAGGATTAAGTTGTTCAATAAAGAGCAAAATGGAGGGGGGGGGGGGGGAGAGTGCTGCTGTTTTTTTTTTTGAGGGGGGGGGGGGGCACAGGTGACTATTTCTTCTGTAGCATGTCTATAGTGCAGTGCAGTTATCTTCTGTGTTTTTAAAATGTTAAAGGCACGGGCTACTTGGAATGCTGAGCTGCACCCTCAAACAAGCTTTTGCGAGGTCTTGGAAGTTCTTGGGTACCTTTCAGTTTCCATCCCTGAAGCCAGTATGAACACTGACTTCATAAACTCTTATTTTAAAAAAATATACGAGTTGTTTGTGAAATATTGTTGGGCTAATCTTGGTTCTACGATTTCATGCTGCCCTAATTTTATTGTATACCTTCTACAAATTAAGAGTTGACATACCAGTTTGTTATTTGAATGTAAAGCTTTTTAGTTGGCCTAGAAAATTTTGGAGGTTTTATCAGTGGTGGTACAACTGGGCCATGTGCCTCATGCTTGTCCTCCTCTGCAAACGTTCATATATATATATATATCAAGTAGAGCTGTGCAAATAGCAATATTTTGTGTGCAAATTGAATTCGAATATTAAATTAGAGTGCAAATCGAATGAAATATTTTTCAAATAGTTGTCGAATATTTAATATTTTTCAAATACTGTAAATACTCTAATCTAACGCGCACCTTTTTTCCGGTTAAGCGAGTTCATAGATCGCATGCGCGTTAGAATCGAGTACGAACAAAAAAGTTACGGTCAATCTATTGCCATAGGCAAATCCAAAATGGCTGCCTCCTACGTGCGTCAGCATGGCGCGTCGGCCATTTCTGCCTATGTGTTTCCCATGTGCGGCACTTCGTACGTGTGCTGAGGAGTCACTCATTGACAATCACTCATTGACAATCACTCATTGACAATATTTGTCTTCGGGAAATTCAAATAGTTCGAACAGTCAAAATTTCTGTGTGAATAAAATCTAATAGCAAACACTATCAAAAAAATATTTGAAAGTTTGCATATTCGCACGCCCCTAATATCAAGATAAATAGGTACTACCACAAAATTTTGTGGCTGAGAATGCGTGTGGGATAAATTACCAAGTATATGTGTTTATCATTTACCCAAATTTTATGAGGGGGTCTAGTTTGGGAGGTAATGTATATAAATTTGAAGTTTGTGTCTCTAATTTAGTGTATACATGGGGCGTTCACGATGGTGTCTGCCGACATTTGCTTCCCTACGGGCCGCAAAAATGGGTCAAACATCAAGGTAAATGCTGCTTGCCCTTCCTCTCGCGGGCGCACCCCCAGAGAATAAGGGCACGACGTAGATGACGGAATCGCCTTATGTAGACGCTAGTGTTGCGACGTCAATCGTCTACCTAGACGACTGTGCTCTGACAACAGTAGCACATGACACGGCAAAAATTATTTAACTGTATATGTGTAGTTTGTGTAATGTGTTGCGGGAATAGGTAAATAACATTTGAGATAAATAATTAGACACATAAAGGAGATGTATGCGCCTTTATTCTCCTTTTTTTCCATCAATTGCAACAAGGTGCGGGACAAATGTGCCTGCATTTCGCATGTGTTTATGTCCCCGCGGTCATCGCATAGAGCAGACGCCAGTCCTTGAAACGAAATATTGCTCCTGTACGTTCCAGCACTCATTGTGCTCATCTATTCTACTGCATCTAAGCCAGCATTTCCAAACAAGCGCACGCTAAGCAGTCATCTCGCAGAAGCGGGCAGTAGGCCACAAAATAACGCTGGTCAACGAAACAACACCGCTCTCATGCTTGGGGGTGGGGCTTGCTCGGGATGATGCCACCATTCGCACATTCTTTCTAGTAAAATAAAGAATTCAACAATGGACACTGTGACGCAATTGAAATTCGCAATGTGTTGTGGCTTGAAAACGCGACCATTGGAGCTTTCGAACCGAGTTTTCAAAGTAGGCGTTACAGGCAAGAACTCCGCCAGCAGTGCAAGTGCGAAAGTTGCTGGAGCAACTGGCACTCAGAGCTTCGCATACATCACGAATTCCGCCAGACTGTCCTCTATTACTTTCTTTATATTCCCAGAAAGACTGGGTAAATCATTACTCACTGACGTTTGGAGAAGCATGCAACATGCTGCCTGTGCGTCATAACTGTGTTGCAGTGAAGCACACCTTGTTTTCCGCAGGTGCACATTTTAGTTGATCACACGACCGTTTTTTTTTTTTTTTTTTACAATTCTATTTTCGTGCTGGAAGTATCAAGGTTGGCATGCTTCATCTGCCACTTATTAGTATTCTTACAGTACATTGCCTAGTGGCTTTTAAGGGCTGTCGTTCCCGCGGTTAAGCTAAAATCAGGATCGAGAATCGGCACACTGCTACGAAAGTTTTCGAAATAACTGGACTGGTGCTGACTGCCGCTTCAAATTATCCACTCAGACTTACATTGCAATATACGGGAAAGTGAAAATACTTCGAATTAAGTGGTATTTCAAAATAGCCGTGTTCAAAATAATTAGGTTATATGCATATGCAGCAAGCATAAAAATACGAAAGCTTAAGAGGTAAAAAGTTAAAAACTATTTAATCGGACATTTTGTAAATCGTTCTACAACTTTCTCATTGGAGTTTATGCCTGGCTTAGTTGCTATAAAGATTAGTTAGTGAAACATGCCTAATTACATAATTAAGAAGACTAAAAGATGGTGTGATGTACTCTAGGCAACGCTCAGGAACATTCTTTTGGTTACGTTGTGGTGTAGTTTTTCGACATAATTTTCACCTCTGGTTAGAGATAGCTGTGGCACTTTGCATGTGTGACAGTAATTGAGTAAATGACGCTGTTTATTTTTCACAGCTCCACTGAGTCGGAGTCGCGTGTAGCACTGGAAAGCTCTGGTTAACTTGACTGCCCCTGTATTACACCCTGCAAGCTTCAGTGATCCCTCCCTAATTTTTTTTTTCAGTTTTTTTCTCCTTAGTTACATTTAGATGTGCCATTGCTAGAAGGTGCAGCATGTTCAAAGTGAAGGGCTGCATAGCATTGTCATTATGTTCAAGAAGTGTCCGTTTGCTCTCTATTCATCGTATAATGGGTTTGACCAGAAATTTGCACAGATGTGCAGAATACATGATGTGCTCATCATTGACGTCGATGAAAGGGCTCCACTTCATTAGCATATGTGTATACCTGTTTTGCAGTGCCCTATTTTTAACAATGAATTACTTGAGTGTATTCAAGAATTGAATGAGCTCACTGGCATTTTTGTCCTCTCTGCAGCGGTGCCAACATTCCTCGTGTTTTCTCGCAAGGTGGATGCACTCAACAACCACTTGCCTGAACTCAACTACTATATGCTGCCCATTCTGGTGAGGTTCATTTGCATTCCACTATCCAAATTTCCACTTTTGAAAATGTGAACCTAGGTACAATTTAAAGGGCATATCACAAGGACAGTAGACTCTCAGTTAAACGAAACTGCTGCTTAAATGGAACAGCTTCCTCTGATATGACTAATAATTTTGTACCTGAATTCTGCATCTCTGTTCGTCTGTCGATGAATGAAACTCCTGTTAAATGGAGCGCATTTTTCTTGTTCCTACAGGTCCCATTTAATGAGTCTTTTGTTCTCTAAAATATCATTCAGAGCAAGTTGGCAGGCAAGTAAGCAAAAAGCAGCGAGGAGGTGTAGATAGTTTTAACACAGCGTGGTGGTAGGGGATTTTATCCAAGTTATGAAAGATGTTGTTGTTTGTTTCATGACTGATCGACTGTTGATACAGGAGATTGGCTGAAATGGGCTGCTTGGCTTTGAGGTTAGAAGTTGATGGCAGTGGAATGTCAAACAAGAGACACGTTTCAGCTCCGAGCATGTGAGCGTTTAATCATGTGTCAGTATTAAAGCTGAAAGCATGGTGGAGAAGTAGCATTTGCATTGCACCATTTTGAGACAGGTTGAAAATAGGTGTTTTTGACCCAAGTTCGCATGTGTCCAGCTCATTTGCTATACCCCAAACCAAGAGAAATGCCCAGAGAAATGCAGCTGCTAATAAAACCATCACAGTAGTCACCACTGTGGTTGGGTACACTTAGCAGGCAAGTTCAGAGTAGTATCTCATAAAGGCTAGGTAGAAGTAACAAACATTTGGACCCGCATAAATATATTGCTGCTAATCGGGAGCTTTGGTAGAGATTGGATTAACCATTTTTGTATACACAGAAGTAGGGCATTCCTAGAGAACGAGCATGAAAGTACAGTGGAACTTCAATTATACACACCTCGGTTTCACGACGACCCGCATTTTACGACGAACAGCTCTGGTCCCGGCAAAATCCCCATAGAAACAATGTATTGGAAACCTTGGTTATACACTGCAGTTTTGCGCTGGCTTTCAGATTCTGTCAAAAAGGAAAAAAAAACATTTGTACTCGAAGCAAACGTCTACCAAATATTCAGGAGTGCAAAATATGAACTTGTGTACCCTTACGTTGACGACTGGAAAAGTAGAGCGAGTGAGACAGGATGTCTTCATAGAATGGAAAATTTATTCTCCTGAAAGTTCATGTGTGTCTACATACTCGCTCGCATGCATTCGTATCTGGGGTTGTTACCTAGTCATGCTCTGTTCACATAAAGTAGCTTCAACCGGCTAAAAAGCTGATATTCACGTTTTCAGTCTGTGGACTCTTCCTGGTCAACATACAGCTGATCTCCTGCCTTTGCCACACTCGCAGTCACTGGCTTGCGCGCACATAAGGGCACGACGCAGCTGTTTGACCGTACAAAATTAGTACTTTCATTTGACGTTCGTTCAATTTTTATAGATTTCGCTAAAGCATTTGACTGCGTGCAACACAAAAGGTTGATGACTAAAATCTGTAATCTACAGCTAGATGATAAAACAACCCAGTGGATAAGCGATTTTCTTACTAACAGGGTTCAGTCAGTTAAACTCAATGTTATCTCTACTCCCAGACCCATCAAATCCGGGGTACCCCAGGGTTCCGTACTAGGCCCTCTGTTGTTTCTAGTCTATATTAATGATATCGGATCCAATATTAACTCTTCACTACACCTTTTTGCAGACGATTGCATAATTTATAAGGAAATCACCGAACTGAAGGACGTACACATATTGCAGTCCGACTTGACAAAATTATCAGAATGGTGCCGTTTATGGCAAATGGAAATAAATGTAAACAAAACCAAACGCGTACGCTTTTCATCTGTTGCACATCCTTCGCCCATTGAGTATGTCATAAACAACTTGGTAATTCAGTTTCATCTATTAAATATCTAGGTATTTTATTCCGCTTTGATATAACCTGGAATAGCCACATAGAATATATTACTGCGAAAGCACTACGGAAACTTGGTCTTCTTAAGCGCCGCCTGAAACTTGCAAACAAAGACACCAAACTTCACGCATACAATACTGTTATGCGGCTAACCTTAGAATATGCTTCCATAGTATGGCACCCCCACACAGCAACCCTTACTGATACGCTCGAATATGTTGAAAACAAAGCCGCACTATTTATTTTGTCATGTTATTGCCGCTATGAAAGTGTGTCATTTATTAAGAAAAATTTCAATCTCTCCCCTCTTTCCCTGCACAGAAAATATTTCCGCTTATCTTTCTTCCACAAATTATACCACAGTGATTGCCGTGATTCACCCTGCTTTGTACATTTCCGCAGGCGTTGACCATCATCATAAAATTGAACCTATATTTTCTCCCACAAAATAACACCAATACTCACCCCTTGTCTTAGCGAGAACCGAGTGGAACGCTCTGCCTGCCAGAATTCTAACGCATACACAGCAATCATCTTTCTAGTCTGCATTATTTGCGTTCCTTGAATGTGTTGGACAATTTTAGGCATTGCTGTATAACGTGTCGTGCAGCTTTTTTAATGTGCTCGCTTGTGAACACCTTGCTGTGTTATTTCTTGCTTATCTTGGTTGACAGACTGTGTGTCCTGCGCATGTTTTCTCGTCTTCCTTTCTTGTTGAAAGATTGCTGTTACTGATTACTGTATGAAACTCCCTTTATGTAATGCCCTAGAGGCCCTTAAGGTATATAAATAAAAATAAATAAATAAATAACAACAGCGGGACACCACTAGTTGCATTTCACAAGGCTGTCATGCGCTAACGCTAAATCGCGCACAACATACCGTTACGTCTTGCCACTCTCCCCAACCAGGCCGAACTCCCCTCTTCCCTATCCACGCAACCGCCACAACTCCCATCCCAATGATGATGATGGTGCCATCATGTAGTGCCCTCTCTCAGCCATGTCCCGATGAAGATGATGACGCCGTCACGTAACGCCCTCTCTCGGCCACCCTCACAGGTCTCCCCCCCCTCAAAATGTGAAGCCACCACTACGCATCGCCTGCAGCTTCATGGTAGAATGTCAGCTGATCTGCGTGTGCCACACCGTGGCAATGACCCATTTTGGGGTCCACTAGAACAAAGTCATTCTGTCCTACACGTCTCACTGCCCGAAAGGGACCGGAACGCCGGGGTTCAAGCTTCGAGGAGAAGCCCTTGGTGGCATAGTGAGGGAGTGGCTTTCAGGCAGAACAAGATCACCCTCCTGTATTGTCTGTGGCCGCCTGTGCCGGTCGTAGCAAGTCTTCTGGGCGCATCACATGTGGTCCTGGTGTGCCCTGGAGAAGTCAAGCACCTCCTGCAGACACTTGGAGACCTCAGTAGCAAATGCACGGTATGCTGTCGCAGGAGGCTCCACTTCCTCTTTGGCTTCACCCTGTGTCCATGGGGTTCTCAGCTCCCGGCCAAAACAGAGAAAGGCAGGCGTGTAGCCCGTGACAACGCTTTCAGCCGTGCGCATGGCTAGAGCAATTTCAGGGATGTGCTGGTCCCAGTCTTTGTGGTTGGAACAATAAGCCCTAAGGCACTGCTTGATAGTGCCATTGTGGCGCTCCACCATTTGCCTGGCAGGGCGGTACGAAACAGTGTGTCGGTCTTGTATGCCCCAGTGCTCAAGGAGGCCCTTCCACAACCTGCTTACAAAGGGCTTTCCATTATCACTTGAAATGGAGACAGGTGTGCCATGCCTGCAAAAAACCTGGATCATGCAGGCCACCACACTCTTGCTGTTTGCTGCCCATAATGGGAAAAGTTCAATGAACTTGGTGAACTTGTCAATCACCACGAGAAAGTACTTGTGGCGTCGAGGTGTCATAGGCAAGGGCCCAATTATGTCCACGCTGAGCTGTTCCATGGGGGCAGTGGCCCATTGACTGCTCATCAGCCCTTCTGGCTTCTGGCGGTGGGCTTTGGTGCGCTGACAAACCTGGCAGCATCGCACATACTTGGATATGTCCGAGCGCATACCCAGCCACACGAAATTCTGAGAAATGCGTTTGAGGGTCTTAAAAAAGCTGGAGTGGCCGTTAATCGGGTGGTCATGGGACAGTCGCAGGACCAAGTTGTAACGATGGTTTGGTAGCCAAGGTACTTTCCTGTTTCCTCGGTGCTGTACAAGCAACCCACTCTCTTCCATCACGGTCGTCTCCGCCAGGTCTTTGATCAAAGATTGATCACTGTCGGTGGACGGAAGTTTCCCTCCCTTCTTCACAGTTCGTAGTTTTCACAGTATGGGGTCCTGCTCTTATTCCTGGGCGAGGAGCCCTGCATCATTCAAGACAGTAGTGTCGTCAACTCCAGATGCTACAGCAGCTGCCTCAAAGCTGATTCGTGGGCTGGGCTCTGGAACAGCCATAGGGAACAACGTCTCGTGTAGACTCGGGCTTGGAACTTCCTGATGCTGAAGGGGAGCTCTGCTCAAGGCGTCGGCTGGCACATTTGCAAGACCCCGCCTGTGCTTGATCCTGCAGTTGAAACCTTGCAGCTGTAAAACCCAACGCTTTACATGTGGTGAGGCCTGGTCTGTGGTGAACATCCAGGACAGTGAGGAGTGATCACAGTGTATCTCAAACTCGGTGAACTCAAGGTATGGTCGGAACTTGTCCACTGCCCACACCACAGCCAGACACTCCCATTCTTGCACTGTATAGCGCTGCTCTGCCTCAGTGAGGACCCTGCTAATGAAGCTTATTGGACGCAGTTGAGCATCACTCTCGGCTGCCTGCAGAAGCACCGCTGCAATGCCGACTCCACTGGCGTCTGTTTCCACCACGAATGGTCTGTTGAGGTCCGGCAAGTTTACAACGACATCGTCGGCCAGGGACTGCTTTAAGTGCTCTAAAGGCTTCCTCTTGCTGCAGCTCCCACCACCAACGTTGGTTTTTCTTAAGGAGTTCTGTGAGTGGATGTGCAGTGATAGAAAAGGGAAGTATGAACCCTCTGTAATAGCCTGCTAGTCCCAGGAAGGCCTGCAGCTGTTTGAGTGTTGTTGGTTGAGGATAGCCCAGCACCGCACGCACTTTTTCCTTGTCCGGCCTACACTGCCTGGGCGATATTTCATGGCCAAGGAACTTCAGGTATTGACTGCACACGTGCACCTTCTCTGGGTTAATGGTCAGCTGTGCCGAACTTATCCGCTTCAACACCTCCCGAACATGCTCAAGATGATCCTCTAGGGTCTCTGAGTACACCAGGACATCATCGAGAAATGCCATGGCTAACTGGTGATTGATTCCCTCCAGTAGTCGGTCCATTAGGGTCTGGAACGTGGCAGGACCTCCGGCGACTCCAAAGGGCAGTCTCATGAGCTCGAAGGTTCCCCGATGCAAATGAACGCTGTCTTTGGAATATCCTGCTCTTGAACAGGGATTTGAAAAAAATCCTGTGAAAGATCAAAACTTGAGAACCACCTGGCTCGTCCCAGCTGTGCCAGCAACCAATCAGTCCTGGGCATAAGGTAGACTGGCACCTTAGTGCGTGCATTCAGCTGGCAGTAATCCACAGCCATGCGGTAGCCACCAGACTTCTTCTCAACCAGGACTGGAGCACTAGCATGCTGACTTTGGCTAGGATGGATGAGGTTCTGTGCCAGCAGGTCTTGAAGTCTTGAATGCAGTTGTCCATGATGGCCTGCCCTTGGCATTCACTGGTCGCAGTTTGCATCGAACAGGTGGGTTGTCTCCTGTGTCTATGTGATGCTCTGCCAGGGTTGTGCAGCCCGGAGTGGTGGTGAAGATTTCACTAAACTCTTCTAAAACGTGTTTCATGCGTGGGTCTAGGTCCGACAAGTGGCCGGGAATGATCACATTGCAGGCTGCAGTCGCGTCGTGCACACTGGCACACACACCGGCATCGTTCTCAGCAAAAATGCAGTGCAGACTGTCTCCAAAATCATCCACTGCCTGTGGCTGTTCCTTAACCGTCTTGACAAAGGGCACAATTCTTTGTGGTTCTGTGCCGACAGTCCACCCACCAAGTGACACGTGCAGAGAGATGCCACTCACCGTCAGGAAATCCCTACCAAGGACAACGTCACGACACAGGTCAGGAACGCACAAAAACTGCTGTCTACGGCAACCGGCAGCCCACTCGATCTGGAACTTCAGAGACATGGTTGACTGTGACCAGCCTGATACCAAACGCAGCACGCGTACGTCTGTCTTGGGTTTAGTTCCAGAAGCTTGGGCCGCCGCCGCAGCGTGCGGTCCGAAGAAGCTTTCACTTGAGCCTGTGTCTAGCAGGGCCTTGAACGTCGACGACCCGATACGGACGTCCATAAGGAGCTCTTTGCCACTGGCTGTGGTCGCTACTTGGTGCGCACTGCCGTAGGTGCCCGCCGGGGCAGCACCTACTGCCACTGGTTTCCCGAGCACTGTGCTTGCAGGTGACCCGATCACTGGCACCGGAAGCAAACGAGTGGCCCCATTCGTTGACCCGTGGCAGTTACGAGATATGTGGCCGAATCCACCACAGCGATGGCACTGCACACGCGTTGCTCCACTCGTGGGCTGCTGCCGTGGCATCGGTCCCGGCCCGTAGGGTGAGAACAGAGGCGCAGTGTCGCACAAGTACTGCCGGTGCCGGCAGTACGACGGGCTCAGCGCAGCTGGGTGCAGTGGCCAGTGATAAGTCGGCGCTACCAGTGGGGCGGCAGTGAGCGATGGTCGGGGGCCAGGCAAGGGCGGAACGCCAGATCTCTGGCTACTTGGTTGCTCGGAAGTGGCGGTGGCCTATATTGGAGGCGACGCCAAGCCCGCTCCATTAGGCCGTCGGCTGCCTTCACCAACTCGGCGAGGTCGTTGTAGGCATGCTCCTCCGCCATATCTTGCAACTGAGGGTGCATCTGCCTCAGCACGCGCTGCACCTTCTCGGCTTCGGAGACCTCTTCCCTGATGCGGTCGTAAAACTTAGTGATCGCATAAACAAACTCCTTTAAGTTCTCTTCTGGGTGCTGCGTGCACTGTTCGAGCTCCGCCTTCAGGCGACGCTTCGCGTCAATCAACGAGAACTCGAAGCGGAAGGCGGCAGTGAATTGCTCCCACGAGTCGAACCCCCGCACGAACCGCCACCACAACTTCGCGTCGGCCTCGAGGGCATCCGGTACCACGTGAGTCAGTCGCTTATCGGCGGCGACCCCCGTCGCGAGGCAGAATTTTTTCAGGCGTTCAAGAAACTCCTCCGGCGACTGCAAGTCTCTAGCACCAGAGTAGCGGGGGAGGTGCGCAGCGGCGAGTCGACGCGCAGAGTCGTTGGTGGCCCAAGGGACCGCGCCAGTGTTAGCAATCACAGTCCATGCTCCCACGTGCGGAGCTGTGGGCAGTGGCGTCGCCATCACTCGATCGCGCACGACCGCCGCGATTCGTTCGCGCTCCATGGCGGAGCCGTCGGTGCCCAGCAAAAGCTCTTCAACGACATCTTGGAGCCTAGGCGTGTCTTCCGCTGCTGTTGTCGGGCCTGAAGCCATCCCGGACGAGCCCCCACTTGTCATGCGCTAACCATAAATCGCGCACAACACACCGCTACGTCTTGCCACTCTCCCCAACCAGGTCGAACTCCCCTCTTTCCCACACACGCAACCCCCACAACTCCCAGTCCCAATGATGATGATGGTGCCATCATGTAGTGCCCTCTCTTGGCCAAGTCCCAATGATGATGATGACGCCGTCACGTAACGCCCTCTCTTGGCCTCCCTTACAAGGCAACAAATTACACTGCGCACAGCTCGGTCATGCACGAACACATTGTACGCATACTCGTGGTCCGTCGCCATTATGTGTTAGTGATGACACTGTGTCTGACTTTTCTCACGGCAGGCTGTTGGCAATGCAGTTTCGGTTTCATTTTCACACGCATCAATTTTTGGTCTCTATTTATCGGTATTAAGGTGCACGTTGGATTTAATTGTTTTTAAAGTTGAGAATAAAGATTCGCTCACACCTTCTTTAACTAAGTAGCGCTGCCATTAGCTTCCACTGGCAAGAATAATTTAATCTACCTTCCATGCAGAAGCATAAGGTCATGCTGTGGGCTTATTCAGGCAGTCTGTACCCGTTTTTCTGGCTAGGCTGTCACTGTCTGTAATCTTTGTTTTTTTTTTATCGACGTCCGGATTATACGGCGGTTTTGCGTGGTCCCCTAAAAGTCGTGTAATCGGGGTTCTACAGTATATAATTAGAAAATGATTTTATTTGGCAAGAGTCTTTCCAAATAAGTCCACGCTTGTGCTTCAAGGGGAAACAAAAATGTGCTGTATTGGTTTAGCGGCATCATTTAAGGACGATCTTTATTTCTTTTCTTTTGTTTCGATATTACTTAGTTGATTGCAGTGTTTGTCGTCTCATTTCATCCTGATCTCTTGCACTGCTCCCGTGCATCAACTCTGGCACAGTTTCGTCTAAGCATTTTCTGTATGTGCATTTGACAGGTTCTATTACAAATGATCTCTAGCTAACATGATGTGGCCTCTTGCAGACTATCTCTGTGGGTGCATACATCATAGCATCAAGCTTCTTCAGTGTGTACAGCATGGCTGTGGACACACTGTTCCTCTGCTTCTGTGAGTATGCTTTGTGTAAGACTGTTGCGGGGAAATTACCATATTGATGCAGTCATTCACGGGATGAGGAATTGTTGAGCAGGGAATGTCGCTTTATTCAATGTTACGACCAGTGTCTTAGCCATGGCAGCGACTGCCTGCCTTAGCGTTATGTTTATGTGGTCACTTTCCCTCACTAAGGAGGAAGTATGTATAGTACAGGCGAATTCAAACGTGACATGAAATTTTAAATCTAGTGACTGGTATGCATGGTTGCTCAAGATAACCATGTCATGTTGAATCAAATCTCGGACTGGAACCAGTTTCTAGCTTGAACCGAGGATACTAAAATGGAGTGATGCCTTATTGTGTGCTACACTCAAACCCCGCTACAAGAAACTCCATTTCAACGAAATTTTCGCTACAGCAAAAAATTTTCTGCTCCCTCTCAGTAGTCCGCAGGAGTCATGGTATACCGTATTTACTTGCATAATCCTCGCACTATTTTTGGCGGAAAACCGATGCAAGGTTAGGGGATGCGAGAATTACGCGGGGAGAACTTTCCACGAAAACGTACAGAAAGAAAAAGAAAACGAAGTGGCCGCAAATCGGGATTCTCACACCAGCAACTAACAGCAAGCTTTGAAAAGTACTAATTAAAACTTACCTTAACGATAAAAGCACAGGTTCAACACAAGGCAAGATTTATTTGAGACACAAAAGGGCGAGCAAATAGTCAGGAATGCGTGATGCATCATACACAAAGCTTGTGGGCGTTGCGGGCGTAGCGGTAGCTTTCCTCGCTTAATGGAAGCACTCAAAAGGTAAGCGTAGGACGTTAGTATTGGGCTGATGGCTATTTAACAGAATCGTCTGCAGTTTCCTTCTGAAGAAATAGTTTACCATCAATCCCACTTTGGTACGCACATGGCAGGCCCAACTCGTCTTGGTGGCTTTCAGCTGCCGTCACCAGTAGCGAACACAAAACTCGTAGACTCAGAAGGGCCTTCTGGCGGCCCTGTTGCCATTGTTTAGTGCGTGATCTATCACTTTCGACTTGAAATCAGCCGCGTAGCATCAGTATCGCGTCATAACGTGGCAAGATTACCGACACAAGGTATAAAACACGCCGCAACGCACACTTGCCCCTTTGGCTTGGCTTGGATTGGATTTTTGTGCAATAATAGTACGCTTGATGCTTGAGAGATGGCGCCAGACGGTGCACGCTATCATCATCAGTGGTTGTAACAAGCAGACGACATTATTGCGGCAGTTTTGGGGGTGCGATAATTACTCGAGGAAAAAAAAGAAATTGCATTTTTGTTGGGCGATGTGGGGGGTGCGAGAATTATGCGAGTGCGAGGGTTACGCGAGTAAATACGGTAAATATTCTCGCCACAATGAACATTTTTTTCTTCGGCCATTCCACTTCAACAAAATTTACGATGCGATTGCAGGCTCACATATTTAATGCCATGCAGTAAACACGATCTCTAACATTTTGATGCATTTTCAGAATGGGAAAATACGCCGGTGAAGTCTAAAACGCACATTGGCACCACCAGAAACCACCGCTAAAGTGAGCTAGAATAGGGTAGTGGGCTCACTCGCCGGCCGGCGCCATGCATTGCGGTGACGCCGCCAATGTCACACAAACGTGCTTCGGCGCGCCTCCGCGGCATGGCGCCACCGCCGCATTAAATGTAGCGAGCGTTGGCGCTGGGACAGCTGCTGCCTGTTTGGAGTGGCAGCCGGTGTGTGCGAGTTTTGTTACTTTGAGAACTCGTCGCGCTTTGCATCCTCATTCCCCTAGGTTCTTCGGCGAACAGTGATGTGGCCTGACGAGCAGTGACCCTCAAACGAGGTTAAAATACTTCCGCGGCGGCGAAACCGCTGTTTTGCGCCAGGCTGTCGTACAGGTTACGTCCACGTGAAGGGCAGCAAGAAGCCGTCTTTGTTCGGCGTTCTGAAGGATGCTGCCCCGAAGAAGCAATGGGAAAGAAATTTGCATCGAGCGGACAAAGCCCTGGACGACACATCTGCCGTGTGTGACCTTCATTTTCAGCCGAAGTATGTGCTACGGGACTACGTGCATATAATCTACGTGACTGGACTACTTGTGACTATAACCAGTGTGCTAGAAATGCTTTCTTATTTGACAGGGAAAGTAGCATTTAAATACATAATGACATGAAAGACCAGCCAAGACCCATTAGAAAATTTATTTGGTATTATACGTCAGTCATCCGGCAGCAACGACCACCCCGCGCCAACTCAGTTTTTGCTAACCATTACTTATCTGTCATTCTATGGTCTCGTGAAAACAGTTAGCCAGGGGAATTGTGACCAAGGCGAGCTAGCTTTATTGCTGGAGATCAATGCTGCTACTGACACACTTCCACAAGACGATTCACTTGGCAGTGCAAGCACTGTGAATGAGTCTATAGTGCCAGCATCTATTGACCACAACCAGCATACTGCTAGAAGTGATTCCAGGCTGATCTTTTATGTTGCTGGCTATATTGCGCCAAAGTGTGTCATTAAAACAAACTGCGAAGTTTGCATAACACTACTCACGATGCCAGCTCAAGGAGAAGATTTTCAGCTCACTTGTCTAACCACCTTTCGTGACAAATATGGACTGTTGTATCCATCTAGCCACCTGTACAGTTTTGTGAGCAAGCTAGAAAACATGTTTACAGAGTGCTTTTCTTGCTACAAGTTGCATTCTGACAGTATTTTCGGTGTATTGACAATTGTGAAAGAAAAGTTTTCCCAAGAAGTTGGGTGCGCACAACATGCCCCTGGCCTCTCAAAAGACGTAATCAGCTTTTATATTTTTACGCGGTTTTGTAAAAGGCATTAATTCTGATAGAATTGAGAAGCGGGAAAAGGCAAAGCATCTAAAGTTGAGCCTCTGCTCCTGAAGAAGAAATATCCAGTAAGCAACTGTGCCCAATATATATCTGATGAATAACTTTTCATGTACTTGTGCCCAGTACTTGGGGATAGTGGCTTCCTGTTTTTATCTGTGGATTTTTACAGTCTTTGCATAAGAATATTCAGTGCTGAAATATCCCAACTACAGAGCCAAGATAATGGATATCTGCAGAAAGAATGAGCAGCTGAAAATTTTTAAATGTTGTGAAATGTATAACATATAGAGCTCGTGGTAAACTCGCGAGTGTGTGCCAAGGTCAGCATCGCTAATATGTTCACATGCTCGTAAAAGGCGTGCGTGACGAAAGTAGGGCCCGAGAAATTCAAAGAATCCAGTTTACAATTGATAGCCGCGCAACGTAAGCTTTGAAAAGTTCGCCATCGCTGCTTATCACTTGTAAGAGAATTTAATTGCTTCTCATGTTTGCACAGCATTCCTTGCATGCATCGAGTTCTGCATGCAGTTCAATCGCGTGAGTTACGCCCACAGAGTTTATGAAAAAAATGTTTTCTACAGCTTTATTCGCACGAGTACTGACAGTATTCGGTGTGTTTCATTTAACATCAAATAACGAGCTAACAGTTTAGCTGCATACACCATGCTACAGTGTTCTAGATGGTTACCTACGCGCACATGAAGGCCAACGGCCTACGCACCTAGCTCCACGCTAGTTTTGTTTCTTTATTTTTATTGTCTTAGCAACATCAGCATCACCGTTTACACTGCCGAAATTCGCGCGCATTTGCGTCCAGTGCATTGGATAACAGCGCACAAAAAGCATGATTTCAATTGCGCACCAACGCCTCCGTTAGGCAGTGCCCTACATTGAAGTCGCTGGTGGCGCCACCACACGTGTGACATACCCGGCGTCAAGCAGGGGACCCCAGCAAGCCCACTACCCTATTCTAGCTCACTTTACCGCCGCTGTTTACTAAGCATGGGGGCCACCATTGCTCGATAGCGATGGCAATGAGACTGCCCTTCTTTTGGCACTGGCTTGCTTGTTAGCCACATATGATCCAAACCTGAAACTCTGTTGCTCAGTGCATGGTTTCTATCACACAGCTGCCAGGTGCAATCGCGAAACTATGCTTTTTCTAATGCCAATGCTTTTTGTTCTGTTCGCACTTGGCCAGTGTTTTAACTATTCAGAGCAGCTGTTTGTTCACGTTATCAACAAAATCAGCCAGCTGCAAGTGGTGGATGATAATAACAGCATAAAATAAGGCAAAAGTCACCGCTCTATGATACCCCACCTTCTTCTTGGCGTTGTCGGATATAGTTTGATGATGAACAGCTGCTAGTGTTAGCGTGTTAGTGCAACTGTTAGGTTCATTCACGAAAGCTGTTTCAGCCGTAGTTTCAGCGTGCTTTTCACCAAGGCAACGCTATGCATAAGTGAGGATTGTGTCCTAACTCTGCCAAGAAATAAAAGGAAGGAGCTGACACTTTTTAATTTTAGGAATGAAACTTTGTTTCGCTAGCTCAGATCAGCTATGTTTTTTCAAGAACAATGAAATTTTCGCTTCAATGAAATTTTTTTGTGCCGTGTCAGTTTATTTATTTATTTAGTAAATACTGCCGACTTTTATGCGAAGTCGTAGGCAGGAGTGGGTGACAGATACACTTGATTGGACATTTTCCAGGGCAAGAAAACAACAGAAGTTTAAAACAGAAAAAAAAATATGTCGGGGGGAAATAGAGAAGAAAAACAGGGATTTACAAACATTGAAGTCAATGCAGCGCTTCAGAATGAGCAAGTTTCGTTGACAAAAAAAAACAGGCGAGAAAAACACATATCGACACAATCGACGAAGCGTGATACAATTGAGCTAGCGCTGAACATAGGAAAGTAATACAACTCAGACACACACGGGAGAGATTAAATGCGGTGACAATGAAATAAAAAGAAAGAAAGAAAAAAAGTTCAAAGGATAGCTGGCAGATTTGCTATCGCATTCATGAATGAAGCGACAGTTGTGGATGAAACAGCTTCATCGGGCAGGGCATTCCAACTACGTGCTGCTCGGGGAAAAAAAGATTTTTGGAAAGCAGTGGTTCTGCATGAAAATTCCTGGAC